GCTTTATAAAATTATGCATTAATTAAGACAAAATTAAATATAAGTGATTTAATTATTATAATAACAATATCATCACATTACAATTACAGCAGCAAATAAAGGTATTAATAAAATCGCTAATTTGCATTAAACTACTTCCTATAAAACACAGATTGGCAACCAGTCTGGATGAGGACTGTCAAAGAATTAATTAAAACTTAGTTTCTTGTTGCTCCTTTTCCTCTTTATCACTTCCATTATCGGTATCTTCATCTCTACTTTTTCTCAGCTTACAGCATATAACCACCACCATCACTATTATCAGTATTATTAATATCAGTAGTACAGCACCACCAACACTAATTCCAATAATTTCTATAAATACAATAAATGAATAAGTGACTGCAGTTTATATGTAATGATAAACCTGGTATAGTTAATATTGGATCAGGAGATGTAGTACCAGTAGGTGATGGTGTAGGATTGATTATAGGAGTAGTGTCTGTATAATGATAACAAAATTAATAATGATGAAAAAAACATACTAACTCACCAAATGCTAGTATAAATGGTTCACTACTACCAGCCTCATTACTAAATACAACAGTAATATTACATCGTTGATTTAGTAGTACTGGTACTGATCCTGTTATATTCATTGGTTGTCTAGCATATTCCAATAGTTTAGTACTATAATATACAGCATCAATTTCATTACACTCTATTGTAACTGTAGCATTCTCAGGAGCTTCACCAGTACACTCCAATGTAATCTATAATAACATTTTGATAATAATAAATAATTAATAACATGATATATTACTGGTATATTGAAGGAAGCAGTAGCACTAGTCTCATTAAATGTTATCTCAAGTATATTTGAAGCAGCTTCTTCAACTGATCTTGGTACTAAATAAACATAAAATCATTTATTCAGTAATTATTGTTTATTGTACCTCTTTGATATGAGAATGTATCATTATTAGATATTCCTTCTCCTAATTCATTAACTCCAGTTATAACATATGTATAACGATGCCTAAATAAATCATTATCCTCAAACTGATAACTGGTATCATATACTGATACACTCCTCAAGAACTGATTAGTAATGTCATCATATATACTGAGATTATAGTACAGCATAGATACTCTATCATCAACTGTAGGAGCAGTCCATGTTATATCAATAGTAGAACAGTTGTCAATTGAAGAGTCAATGTTAGTAACTGGACCAAGATAATCTAATAGTGAGAAAAGGGTTTGAATTTACAATGATGTATAATAGTTTCTTACCAAATCCAAAAGAAGGTGTAGGTGACAATTCTCCTCCAAGGTTACTGAATGATACATTAACAAAAAATGTATCTATGTTAGGTACAGTTATTACTCCAGTAATCATCAGTTGATCATTAACTTGTGTTGATATACTGGCACTGTTTATTACTGCATTGTCAGTATTCAGTATATTAACTGTTATACTATTAGGATACTGTCCTTTACATAGTGTACTGACCTATGAATGGATGAGTGAGTGAGTGAATGGTGTATATGTATTCATTTGCTATGCATGCATTTCCTGTAGTTTACTCATTGTGTGATGAGCTTATGGTGAATATACTTACATCAATACTGATATTCAATGATATTTGTTGTCCATCAATTACTGGTATAACCAATACAGGAGGAGTAATGAGAGGAACTGAAAGATACACTGTGAACATATACATGAAGCCATAGTAATGCTAACCTGCTTCATAATAAAAACTGATATTATTAGATGAACCTATTCCAACATCATTAATAGGAGAAACTGATACATTATTTAATATACAAGGATCAGGATTAGTAGCTGATAATATAATACTCTTGTTAGTAGTAGTAATGTTCACTGATCCATTGACTATATAGTATCCAGTGATAGGTACATTATCCAGTGTATAAGGAGCTGTCCATGTTAATGATACACTGGATCCATTAATAAAGGTATAATCCAGATCACCAACACTATCCAATAGACCTAAAGAAGTGACTAATGACACAATTAAACTGATACATTACTATACCTTGTATTGTTAGTGTAGCATTGTCACTTCTAATTTCACCAGGAACAGCAACACAATACACATAAGTATTATTATTGATTTCTCTTGCATGAACTGAGAGCTGTCTGTTTCTTATAGTTCCATTAATAATAGTTTGACTTAATTCAGTAAATCCTTTGTTAGTATTGATAAGTTGAGATGCTGGTATTTCATCAGTTTCATTTGCCAGTATTTCACCAACATTAAAGAATATGAAAGAAACTCCAGTTGCTTCACAAGTAAAGGTCACAGTTGAATTGAGACTTGTATTCACTGATACTGGCTGAGTTATATACTCTAGAAATAAAATAATTAGGGAATTTTGCCTAATAGCTCAACACAATGATGCTGGAAGGAGGTAAATTTATAAAACCAACTGTAGTTGCTGGTTGCTAATAAAAACCTGTAAGGTTGGAATTGCATAATGCTTACAACACGCGCCGGTACACCACAAGTGAAAGTTTATAAATTTGCAAGCCATGCTTTGTTATATCTCAAACCATAGATACTTGAGCAAGACTAAAAGCCTCTATACACTAAGCAACATGTTGCTTGCAACATTTGTGGTTACTTTGATCTTGTAAGCAGCATGTTGCCTAGTGTATGGAGGCCTCGAAGGCCTTCATACACGAAGCAACTTGTTGCTAGCAACCCAGCAACATTTTGCCAAAAATAGAACATGCTACAACATGTGCTTACAAGATCAAAGTAACCACAATATTGTTGCCTGGAAGACTATACCATAGTAATAGCTAGTCTCGCGTAGCCAGCCCTGGCTACACGAGACTAGTAATAGCTATGGCTACGCAAAGCGTAGGCGAGGCCAGCAGCAGCAATGCAAACTATTGGGCAAACTTAGATATACTCAATTATCTATGTGCAAACATGGTTTATGATTATAAATAGCAAAAAGGGCTTTTTACAATATAATAACATACTTGCATCAGCACAGAATGAAGAAACAATGGCTAAAAATGACAGGAATGACTGCAGCAGCAACATCTTCTGCGTGATGGTGCAGTTTTATCAGCCACGCCCTATCATCAATGAATACAGTGCACTCCATCGCTGATTGTAGTAGAGATGCTCTGTTTTGTCCTTATTTTTGGATTCCTAATAAGATATTGTCAAGCAGAATATATAACTCAGCCAGTATCATTGAATACAAGTCTCAACTCAACTGTGACCTTTACTTGTCAAGCAACTGGAGCTTCTTTCATATTCTTTTATGTTGGAGAAATACCAGCATCTCAAGATATCAATGTTAACAGAGGATTTACTGAATTAAGTCAAGTAGCCATTAATGGAACTATAAGAAGACAGCTATCAGTTCATGCAAGAGAAATCAATAATAATACTTATGTGTCTTGTGCTGCAATTCCCGGTGACATTAGAAGTGACAATGCTACACTAACAATACAAGGTATAGTAATGTATCAGTTTAATTGTGTCATTAGTCACTTCTTTAGGTCTATTGGATAATGTTGTTGATCTGGATTATACCTTTATTAATGGATCCAGTGTATTATTAACATGGACAGCTCCTTATACACTGGATAATGTACCTATCACTGGATACTATATAGTCAATGGATTAGTGAACATTACTACTACTAACAAGAGTAATATATTATCAGCTACTAATCCTGATCCTTGTATATTAAATAATGTATCAGTTTCTCCTATTAATGATGTTGGAATAGGTTCATCTAATAATATCAGTTTTTATTATGAAACAGGTTAGCATTACTATGGCTTCATGTATATGTTCACAGTGTTCTTTCAGTTTCTGCCATCACTCCTTCTGTATCAGTGGTACCAGTAGTTAATGGACAACAACTATTGATGAATATCAGCATTAATGTAAAGATTATTTACTAAACATATCACACAATAGCTCAGTATTGTTTGCATAACTTCAATTCATCTTATTTCCACACTTATTTACTCATTCATAGGTCAGTGTGTTATGTAAAGGAGAGTATCCTAATAGTATAACTGTTAATATACTGAATACAACTAATGCAGTAATAAAGAATACCAGTATATTAACACAAGCTAATGATCAACTGATGATTACTGGAGTAATAACTGTACCTAATAATTTAAATACATTTATTGTTAATGTATCACTGAGTAATAATGGAGGAATCTTTTATAGCATACCATCTTTTACATTTGGTAAGTAAATTCATTTTTTTTCTTCCTACCAATAAGGTTTTTACTTTGTATCATTAGGCTTTCCTAAACCAGTTATAAATATTAAATCTTCAATCAATAACTGTTCCACCATTAATGTTTCTTGGAATGCTGCTACAGGAGACAATAATCTATACTATAATTTGAGTATATATAATACTATTACTAATCAGCTCTTGAAAACTGTATCAGTGTATAGTACCAGTTATCAGTTTGTGGATAATAATTTATTTATTCATCGTTATACATATGTTATAACTGGAGTTAATGAATTAGGAGAAGGAATATCTAATAATGATACATTCTCATATCAAAGAGGTACATACACTTTCTTCATGTTAATATGTTTATTAAAGTGTAACTGCAGTGATTTTTTAGGGTATTTATTTTATGGTCTTAATATGATTGCCTGACCATAATAATGATGTGTTCCAACTCCTATTGTCTAAAAAAATTTATTCACTGAGATATGAGCCTTCAAAAATGCACTTTTTGCTTCCTTTCAATTTACTTCCTGTCAATGGGTGTGGCTAAACGTGACGTCATAAGAGGCATAGATGCAGATAACTCCATTCCTTTATAGGGGGAATGATCCTTTATTCTCATGCCTTGTGATGTAATAGCACTAATTTAAAGATTGGGATCATTAGATTTCATTATCCTAAGCATGCAACTGCAAGAAAAAGTCATAATACCACACTTTGGTGAATCTTCTTACCATAGGCGGCTGCAGGCCTAAGCATTGGGGGTCATTGCCTAGGCTAAAGATTACTTTTGAAGCAGAAACAATGCTATTATAAGCTTATTTATCCTTTTTACCACACCCTTTTAATTATAAATGCTTAAGCTGAGTTGGACCTCTACAGCCACCAAAGCCTCTTACAGTCTTACCACACCATACCTGGTAAATCTGCTTACTTGCTTCTTTTGGAGTTTTTTCTTG